AAACTTCAGCATGATATTGGCAAGCTTGGCATGATTGACATCTATGCTCAGCTTGAGGGGGAGTGTAGAGAAGATGGGTCGAATGGCCCATAGGCTGTTTTATTCTTTTATTCTTTCTTACTGTTTATGTTCTTGTCTGTAATGGGCCTTACTCTGGGCCCATCCTTTCTATGTTATGTTCTATGTAAATTCTTGCCCAACTAAGGGCCTCCTTGTAATTATTCAAAGTTTATCTTAATAAAATAGTGTTAGGGTGTTAGAGAGAGAGTAAGTTCGAAACTCTCATTCTCAAAACCCTCATTGCCGAACTCTCAAGGTCTGTTTTCTTCAAGCACAATGGGTCTTCTTGTAATTATTCTATTCTTAGGGACCTCTTTGTAATTTTTATTTTATTAATATAAAAGGGTCAGAGGGTGCCCCACTGACTCAAGAGATTCATTCTTCTCATTCTGACTTCTCTTCTCTTCTCTTAATTTCTTTCTTCCTTCATGGGGGTTATCTTTGATAGGTTACATCGTATCAGAGCATAACCTGTCATAGAAAACCCTATTTTTTCTCCTCTTCTTTCTCTTTCGTCAACACAGCAATCAGATTTCTTCAGGGACTTGGCACAATAAGCTTCTTGGACCCATCACCCTTACTCCTCTTCAGCTTTCTCTCTTCTTCTGTGATGAAGAGCTATGTAGTATGTTGGTTGTGCATGATATCTATATCTATAACCCAACTTGAGGGGGTGTTGTAAGGGGTATTTTTTGTATGTTCTAGGCACAAGGGGTCATCCTGTAATTATTCTATTCTCAGGGACCTCTTTGTAATTTTTATTTTATTAATATAAAAGGGTCAGAGGGCGCCCCACTGACTCAACAGATTCATTCTTCTCATTCTGACTTCTCCACTTCTCTTCGTTTTTTCTTCCTTCATGGGTTATCTTTGACAGATTACAACATGAGTTTATCTTAAAACCAATCATTTTAAAATACTCTTCCTAGCTAATTCTATGAACGTTTTAGATCAGTAAATATATTATTTTTGGTTCTGGCCCTCCAATGTTATGTTTAAAAGACGGGGACATTTAGCACACAATTTTTGCTCTTTGATCTAAATATTGACTCAAAGAGGCTTATCAAATACAGGTGTGAAGTTCTTTTTCCTCTCCATTTTAATATACTATTCCAAGCTAATTCTATGAATCCTTTAGAGCAGTAAATATGTGATTTTTTGTTCTGTCCCTCCAAAGGCATGTTTAAAAGACAGGGGGGGGGGGATTTAGTCCACAATTTTTTTTCTCTTTAATTAAATATTGAACTCAAAGAGGCTTATTAAATACGGGTGTCAAGTTCTTTTTCCTCACCCTTTTTCCTGTTTTCTGCACTAGGGAGGAAAAATATGGATATCAAAATTAGAAATCATCATTGTGAAAGTGGAGAGGAGCCTCATTGCTGTTGTTTCTCCTTTGCATTAGTTTTCAGGCTTCCCTTCTCTCTATACACGAGGCTTCGTAGCTAGAGTGCTCATACTCATCTTTTCCTTATTATTGAGATATTTGTAGCATTCTGTTGAATATATCTTGTCTGTCAAGGCATTGGAGGATTTCTTTTGAAAAATAATCCTAGCTTGTAGGTGTCCTTAATACATTCAGTTTTATATTTTCTGTTGGATAAATTAAAAGTCTCATCCTTGGCAATAATTTGAAATTTGGATACAGAAGAAATTCTAGAATATTCATTCCGTAATAAAACTGTTTTATGTTAACAAGAAAGAGCTAAAGTTCCTATATTATTTTCTCTAACTTCTTTCTCTGTCTCTTTTATTAGGTTCTTTGGCCCGATGGCACATTTTTCCTTAATAATCAAGGTGATGACTCTCAATTTAATAAGAAACCAGAATATAGCTCAAACAATTTAGCTGGAAATAGGATCTCTGAACCAGGGTCTTTTGAACTACAACTTGAGGCAACTCGTAGAGCAAGTGATGTTGAAAAAATGATCCTTGGTGAGTATTTATATCTTCCTCTTTTTAATTCTTTGTGGCGATTTAATTCTTCCCTTAAATAGTATTAAGCATGAATTCCTGCCTTCTATTGATAAACATTCTAATGGGAGAATGGATGTCTTTACCATGTTTTCCATACCAATTGAAAATTTTGTTTGCTTTACCTAAGGACCTAAAATCATACCGAGTTTTATTTTTGGAATCCTCTTAAACTACTCTTCTTGTTCTGTTGTATCTTTTGGTGATATAAATTGAAAGTTTAATGTTATATCTTGGGTTTGAGAATTGTATAAATTTGTGTCTGTCGTTTTGCAAAAGCAAATGACATATAGAAGATGGCCGGCGAAGTCGGGTGATCATGGCTCAGGCCATGCTGGACCTATGATTTTAAATATAAAATATAAAATGTATATAATATTTTTTATTATATGACACAAAAAAAAGGTTTAAAAATTATTAGATACTATATAACATTAAATAGTAAATATAACATGTATGAGAGAGAGAGAATTATAACTTGGTTAGCCTACATAATGCCATTATTTTAGAAAATTGAATAAGAACCCTCAGTTGTATCCCTCTCTCACCCAGACAGAGTAAAGTCAGGGGTGACCATGGCCCAGGCTATGTTGGGCCTATGATTTTATATAGAAAATATAAATGTATATAATATTTTATATTATATGAAATATATTATATGTTTAAAATTGGACACAAAACCTAGGCCCAAGTCCAGAAATTTCTGGGCTGGGCTGGGCTATAAATGGTCACCCCTAATAAAGGAATAAATAGGGAAGGCTTAACCAACCTAAAGTAGAAACAGAAACATAAACCAATAACTTGACACAAATACTAAACTAATATAATAGATCCAGACTCATACTGAACCGCTTACCTGACTTGACCTGGGCACTATACTAAACCTTCTTACCAGCACTATAATTTTCTTCATTGTGTAATTGTTCATTATGATTTCTTTTGTTTCAGATGTTCATCTGTTCTTTTTGTTTAACATTCCATGGAGTTCCATTATAACTTTCTATCTTTATGTTAAGTTTCTTCTATTTTGAGGGAATTACCCCCCCCCCCCCTTCTTTCACACATCGGCCTCTTAGTTTCTTTGATAGGAAGCTATCTTACTAACATAAGCATGACTAACTGAAACATCTTGATGTTAGATGGAGCTCCAACTGCCTTAGTTAGTTTGATTGGGCACAAACAGTATAGATGCTGTGCAAAAGACATTTATTATTTCCTTCAGGCAAGCCTCTGATAAACCTATGCATGGTGAACTGTCTTGTACTAAGTTCCTGTTGATACATATTTTGTTCTGCTCTCCAACTTTTCATGAAGGAGCATGCTGTATTTGTTGTGTACTGCAGTCTAATATCTGTATGAAGCAACTTGCATATGGAATGTTGGAACTGCTACTCATTTCTGTCTTCCCTGAGCTGCACGTTCTTATTCTGAATATGCATGAGAGTATGCATGTTCAACCAGCATAGGAAAGTTGAGGATCAGTGCCAAGCCTTTTATGCTCCGTGAATAGCCTCTTATCACTTTTCCAAATGCTAAGAAGGCTCAAAGCCACAATCTCTTCCAAGTCCGATGCAATCCTGTTCTGGGTTATCCAGGCGCTATCACTTTTAGGCCATTTGTACATTTGTAATAGGGTGGAACCTATCACAAATGTAGGGTGCCTTCCATCTTATTCTAATTGTAAAGATAGTATTTGGAGTCTGTACAGTAGTGTATAACCGTTTCAACCAACACAAGAAACATTGTTTAGCTTAGATATCATATGCTGGATTCAAATTGAAGCAATAGTTCTTTTCAGTTTTCCATCTGAAGTACGTCTAAGTTCTAAATCTTTATAAGATAATGCTTTATCTTTAGATATTTCATGAACTTGTTTTGGTTGTATGACCTCTGTACACCTACTACGGTCGTTAGAATCACACCAAAGTTACCAAGTATCACATTCTTCCCTTGAGAGTTTCAAGATGAAATCCACATACTCTATGGAGTAGAGAAGTCGGATTGCAATAAGCATGCCAAATACAATTTTCAATTTCTTTTGTGAAATTGTTAAGAGTGATTGTGAGACAAAACATTTGAGTCTCTGACCGTGCCCTTTGTGGTTATCACTTTTACCTTCAAGGCCCCGTTCACTTTTTGGTAAATTATTTACCTGGGTAAATGCAATTACCTAGGTAAGTTTTTCCTGGGAAACATTTACCTAGGTAAGTGCATTTACCCATATTCTTTTATTTCTTAGGTAAATAAGGTAATGACCATTTTAGTCATAATAATCCATTATTAAAAGGAGTTTTTTTATCTTATTCAAGTGTCAGTAACTTTCTTCGTAGGTGGGAAAGTTATTTATCCACCTAAGAGATGAGTAGGTAAGTGATACTCAGAAAAATAAACTTTGCCTGGTCCCCATATTAATCTGAAAAATGAACATGAGGTTCTTGGTCAATGAAACTAAAATACCATTAACCAATATTCTCCCTCTCAAAATCCAAAAGAACGCCCCCCAAAAGTAACTGTTTTCCAATTGTCAAAGCCAATGGATTATGAACATTAGGCGTTCCATTTCTTTCTCTACAGTCCACAAGGACTCCTACGGTGAGTTTGCACTTTTGCACCACTCCCGAGATTTGGAGCTGATGAGTTTGCAAACTGCTTTGGAGTTTGGACTGTCATACTGGGGGAAGTTTAAGGCCTTAACTTTTATCAAGATGAAGCTCCATTCTTCGAGCCATAATTTTATATTCGATTAATCTCACCCCGATTATCTTTTATGTAGCTATATAATCTCTTAAGTCTTAACCATAAGCGTGAAAATATTCATCTTGAGGGTGATGATCATTGAAGGCAAAAAATGATGTCGAGAAAATAATTGCTAAGATTCACAAACTCAAAATCGTATTTGGTCCTCACAAGATCATCCTCACGGCTGCAAAAGGCTTTGAGGACCAAATTCAAATTCCAAAATCCCTCTCCCGAAGGATAATGATGTCTGATTCCTTGTCAATACAGCTATCTGTCCGTTATTATGTTCTACGGTTGAGTGGTTTCTGGATCACAACTTCACAACTTGGCTGATTAGGAGCCCCTTTACAATCATAAGGGAATGTGGAATGGGCTACCCCCCCCCCCTGGAAAATTGCATGAAAAAAAAAAACAATCACAAAGCATTTATAGTTGCAAACTTCTGCAACTTAGTTTGTTCAAACAGGTAGTGGTTGCTTGCATTTTTTGTTGATCTTTCAGTTCAACTGTGGGTGGGTGGGGATTGTTTTAGTGACATAGTTAGTGCTTTTAAAATGAACCTTCCCCATCAATACATAGTAGCCCGCTGTCGTCGTTGTCGTCATCATTTAATCCTTGTTCTAATTTTATTGGGCTTGTCTATATTAATTATGTTGCGCCATCCCACCAAAGAGTGAAAAGGCACCGAGGGGTGACTCAGTCGGTATATTAGCTGGTTCATTCCAACAGACTGGGATTGGAATCCCCCTACCACCAAATCTGGGGAGGGTTGTAAATGAGGTGCTGCACTACTAAAAATGGCCTCTATAGGGATTCAGGCCTATCATCAAATACCAAAAAAAAAGTTATAAGACAATTAAGGCAAATTTGTCAAGTGACTTTGGGCCTCAACAACATTTCATGTGAAAGATTCCCTCGCTGATTTTTCAATATAATTTGGCTTATTTTGCAAATGAGGCAAGGTATTTTGTTCTGAAAATATTTCAATTAATATAAGGACTTGCTTTTGAACTCCAAAATTAATTTGCCATGTATAGGATTTTTTGGTTATTTAAGAATGCTCATTAAAAAATGTGATTAACAGAGACACAGATCTTTTGAGTTCCAAACTACTTTGCAACTTGAAAAAAAAAAAAACAAGATTTATTCAATTTTTGCTGTTTTTGATTTGAAAGAAAAGGTAGAAAGAAAAAAGAGAAAGATAGAAAAACCTATACAAGATCACTAGCAGGACCACTTCTTTTTTCTGATATATACAAGTTCACTAGCAGGCCCACTTCCTTTTCTGATGCAATCCCTTTTATGCCGAGTTTTTTCCATGATTAAAGGTTGGGGACAGGAACGCAGGGACACCTTTCGGCCCCAGATAGAAGACTGTCTTAATGATCCACCTAATTCTCATATAATCAATTCAGACCATCTACCATACAGGACATGGGAAAAGGTTCCCTACCTGGTCAAATAGAAATTCTCCCTAGACAATCCCACCTAATTCTGCCATGTGGAGGAATCATAATGTCATCTGGACTGTCCATCATATAAGGTGCCACTGATTTTGGTTTCTGTTGTTCTCTCTGCGTTCTGACAGCCATTACCCCACCTTGTACCAGTGTTTTGCTTTTTCCCAAAAAGCCATTCAAGAGTATCAAAATTTTCTTTTTTTTTGCCACATGGAAGAATAGAATGCTGACTCATGTAGACTTCTTCCCCTGTTTCTGCCACATGGCAAATTCAAGCTAACTACCAAACAAGGGAACCATCTGGCTCTTCCATCTTTTACACCCAACCCAAAATCAAGGCCAATTCTACACCAACCTTATATTCAAGTTGCCCAATTGATAACAAAGGCTGATTTTAGATTATCAAGGTGTATTGGGCTAGAATTTGTTTCAGTGGGGAGAGGAACATTGTAAGTCCTTTTTGGATCCAAACTAATTATGACTAGAATTTGTTTAAAAGCTCTACAGCCTCTGCTTTGTGTTCAACCTTCTCCCTGCTTTGATTCATGGGACTCCAACCAACAGCAATTCAACAGGAAGTCAACTTCTATCTCCTGCATCACATGACTACACAGCTTTTGGTTACCAATCAATCTGGATCATCGGAGTCATCCTAAATGGGCCACTGTCAGTCAAATCAGTCATATTTTATAGATTATACGAGGCTGTGCATCACTTTATGATCATCTTCCAAAGGATAGCAGCTGATGGGATTAAGACAAACCATTGACGACAGGTCTCTTGGGCTGATAGAGATGGGGTGTGGAGACCATTTCCATGCACATGAAGTTTTCTAATCAAAAAAGGTAGTAAGCCATTTTCACCAAGTACCAATACATTTGTTTGAGATGTGAGTGTGCATAATTGATTAGGAAATTGCCAAATGCAATACTGCCAAGGAAGCTGGATTAAAAACAATCACTCACAACCAATTGGGTTGTTGGCCCATGTCACTCAATTAGGAAATTCGATAATGGAATTGACGTCATCTTAAAAGGCCAAGGAAGAAACCCACTGATTCAAGGGGGTACACTCGGGATCTCCTACCCACAAGAACCCTATCCACACCTTCTCACTTGACACTGCAGCTGTGCATTGGGAACATCTTCCCATACATGATAACATACAAGTAAAGGAAATGTTCCTCAAGTGTAGTTGTGATGTCATGTGGGAAGGGATTTTGTGGATAAGAGATCTGAACTGTACACTCAATGCACCCAAACATACTCTTAGACCCATCTCAGAGAAAGCTCGTGTTTATTGCAATTACCTTATGGGGAGTGAGAATGGCCTCAGTTGGATTAACAAAATACGGGCTTGAATCTGCTATCCACAAGTTGTTCTTATATCTCTACCCACAAGACGTTACAATTGTGTATTAGAAATATCTCCTTTTTCATTCGTAGGGAAATGCTCCCAATACACCTCCGCGGTGTTCCATGTGAGAATATTGTGTAGGTAGTAGATATAGAGTGACAAAATACAACCTGAATTAGACCTTTTTGATCAATCCGGTTGGTTTATAGTGAAAGTTGTTTCAACTTGTAGGAATTTGGGCCTCAAACCCATGGGCTTGTCAATTCCATTGAGTTGATTTGATAACAAGTGTTGTGACTTGTGTCCTTACAAGCAAAATGTAGTTAAAGCCTTTGTCTGCAGCCTCCCTGGCACCTTGTCTTGCTGCTATTGCCTCTTACCACAACTTCATTCCAATACTTCCCCCTCAACACTGTCTGTAAATACCAAGGTTTTTAAAATCAAATCGGACAATGAACCGATTAGGGGTTTGGTTTTCAAGTCGACAGTCTGACCATTTGAACCGAATGAGTAGCCCGTTCTGACAAAAAAATAAAAATTTAAAAAAATTTAGAAAAATAAAAACCAGCTAAACCATTAAATGGTTTGATCGCCCGGGTCAGCAGTTTGCTGACCAAACCAACGGTTTTTAGAGAAATAATGGTTTTGGGGTAAAACAGAACTGATCACCTGACCGGTTCCCAATTTTTCCGATCCAACTGTCCGATCCAGTTTTAAAAACCATGATAAATACAGTTATCTAAAACATGTAACCCCATTTGTATAAAACACTAACATGTTCACTCGTAATTGATTACATAGCCCATTATATCCTGCCATGGATGCAGCAGATTTCGACTCAAAAGGTGCACCTCCTATTGATTCAAGCCATATAACAGAATGAAACATACATGGGTCATAACTCAAAAACTCAAGAATTTCAAAACCATTTACTTGCAACTTGCAGGATTAAGATTAAAGGACCTGAGGATGAAGAGGCTTATTTAATTTTTCTATAAGATCTGGTATGCTGGTTATTTCATGGAAATTAGTTGTCCTACACTTAAAAAAAAACGTAGAATGAAAAAAGAGGGTATATATAAAGGGTCCACTCTAACTTTAAAATGACATTTTCTTAAAACAAAGGAAAGAAAAAACAGAATAAAGTGGGTCCCAAGCAAAGTAGGCCACTTGATCAGAAATCAAAACCTAATTTAATCTCCTTAATCAAATAAAAAAATTGCTTAAATGCTTGTAGACCAATTACCACATGCATGGTGGATCCCA